GGTTTCTCAGCTGAGAGGCTTCGAGTAGCAGGGAGATGGGTGAAGTCTTGTTTTTGCACCTGTCCAATAAGCAGCGCTAGTTTAAGCTCAAATACTTTGATTTGGGAATACATGTCAGATTAGTTTCCCCTTGCCTTGACTTCTCGGTTGGGAACGGGACCGCCGGTTTCTCAGCTGAGAGGCTTCGAGTAGCAGGGAGATGGGTGAAGTCTTGTTTTTGCACCTGTCCAATAAGCAGCGCTAGTTTAAGCTCAAATACTTTGATTTGGGAATACATGTCAGATTAGTTTTCCCTTGCCTTGGAGCTGCAAGTTGAGGCCGTTTAAAATTTCTGACACATCTGTTAATAAAGGCGAGGTCCCATTTCCATTCTGTGTCGATCAGCTCTGGGACAGTTTTTCCCTTTGTCAGGAGAAAGGCATTGATTTCGGGTAGCAGGTCGTAAAAACACTTCAAAACTCTGCCCCGGCTTAACCAGCGGACTTCAGTGTGGTAAAGCACGTCTCCGTGGGCTGATTCTAGCTTGGAGAGAAAGGCTTGGAACTGCCTGTGTTTAAGTCCGTTTGCTCTGATGAAGTTTATGCAGGACACAACCACCTTCATGACAGATTCCCACCTCAGAACTTTGCAGCTTGACGCTGGCTCGGTCACGATCAAAGTCACGTCAGAATATACCATTGTGTGAGGAGGTGAAGATGAGCCACTATTAACTATAAATAGCTCATAACTATGGTCAATTTTAATTAGAATGCCAACCTTTAGGTACGGATATGTTATGATGTTATGATAGGAAAATGCAATTTAATAAAAATTGGTTGATGTTTAGAGGGATTGTCTGGGATCGTTAAGTGGGCCACTCCAATTGCTTTGGCGGGCCGGATGTGGCCTGCGGGCCGCTGTTTGGGGACCCCTGTTATAGACCCATGTTTTGGATTTTATGGTTTACAAAATGTAATAGAAACGTTAAGAGTGGTTCGACATTTGTCACAAAATGGGGTGATAAATAAGGGGGGTAATAAAAACACACAAAGACAGTCTCTTAATAAAACAGTAATTTATTTCTGACTGAAAACTAAAATCGTCTGAACAGCACATTACAAGGGCATTGTTAAGATATTTTCTCCAAGGCTCAGTGATCACTTTCATACAGTACACTTGGCATGTACACGGCATCTCCTTCAAAACAAAAAGAAAAACAGAAAGAAAACAACTCTAAACAGAGAAGAAATGAGCCCATTTGCAAACAGAAAAAAGTGGGAAATTAAAGAGTCCATCCTGTAGAAAGATGACTGATTGTACAATTACCAAGCATTTTGGTTTGGTTCTAAGCCACAGAGAAAGAAACCGGATCGCCTGACGACAGCAGACGACGGCACAGGAGGCACAAAGACGTGACACAGACAGGACATCCCATAATATGCTCATACACAATCGACTGGGTTCCAGCTTTAAAGTGTGAAATATTTAATAGTTTCCATTGTTTTGTTTTGAAGATATTGTCGTCTAGTTGTTATTTTTTTTTCCTTTGTTAGCAAAGTGTTGGTACACTACAATCGAAATCTAAATGCTGCATTCATTAAATACATTAAAATTTGCAATGTAACAAAATCTTTTCTCTGCATATGAAATTCAACACATGAAAACAAAAGATGGCTCCTTTTCTGACTAATGGAAGGCCCCTTCCTCCAGCCAACACTAATGCCTTTCCATTCTTTTTCTTTTTTTTTTTCTTTTTTTAATTCTCACCCTCGACTACTTACTCCACCCTCTCTGCCCATTGTTCTTTCGCTTTCATAAATCCTCTCACAATCATTCACAGACTGACAACTTGACAGAAAAATAAGAGTGCTGGATAAAAACATGAGGTAAGAAAGTGGTTTGATTATAGATCATGCAGAACATGCAAAACAGCAACAAAATATAGGGATGGAGAGAGTAGAAAAAAATACGAGTGTGCATTTAAAAATGGGAGAAAGAAAAAAAAAAAAAAAAAAAAAAAAAAAAAAAAAAAAAAAAAACTTACACAGCTTTGTGTCTTTGGTTATAAAGTAGGTCGAACAATTTTCACAGCTTTTCATCCCCACAACCAAACCCCCAAATTCATTTCTATTTTTTGTTTTGACAAAGAAAGTCTAGAAAGTTATTTAATAGTTTTCTTTATCGAAACATCCCATCACATATTTCATATCTTGGTTCTCCTGTACAAACCCTCCTCCCTCGCTCTTAATACTTTACACTTTACAAAATATACATTCAACCTGGCTCCCACCTAATGCAAGCTCGGCTTTAGTGTTAGCACTATTTCATGAAAAGAAAAATTTCTATTATGGAACTTATTGCCTACTTATTGAGATCTACTTGTTGCAAGAGACTACCAAATTTTATACCTGACAGATTCTAAAATACCAAAAGACCAAAGAGAAAGGTTTCTTTTTTGTTTTTAATAAGTATCTCCATGACATTGTTCATTTACATTATGAAAATAGCAGCCCTGAAATAAATAAATGCAAATACTAAAACTGAACTAATGAAAAAGTATTATGATTCATGTCAAAGTACGGTGGCTCTGAGAAAACAACGCAAGCTTTTGTTGCAGCATATAACAAGCCAAGGCGCTCGACTCGCTCCGCTCAAGCTGAGGCGCCCGCTGGCGTCCTCCTCTGCTCAGGGAAGCCGAACCCTCTCCCCCACTTCTCCCTCGGTTCTCTGGCCTCTTCCAGCGCTGGAGTGATGTGGGGTAGAGATACTGGGAAGGACAGTCCCTGCTGGATGTTTTTTTACAGGACCCTCGTCGCCACACTGGCCCCTCACAGAGGCACCGTCCTCTTCCACCACTTGTTGCCCCAACAAATCAAGCTCTCTTTGCCCTTTGACCCCCATCTCCTGCACAAGAACGGCATGCAGTTTTATGGTGCGCACCGGCTCCCCTGCCCCTCCTTCCTTCTTCAGCTTTCCTACAGCCAAACACAGGGCCAGAATAAGACGTTTCAAGGGGTGGTAAATGTCTTAATAATGTGAAGGCCCGGTGACGGCAGCGTGCACACACTGAAGCATGGCTCTTGGTGGCAAACAAAGATGTCGCTGTTGATTTTTCCTAAAATGGAACATACTGAACGCAGAGCCGAGCCTTTTGCTTTATGGAGCTAAGGGGACGGTAGTAGTTGTTGTCTTTTTCTAACAGGATCTTCCACTCCTGTCCGTGGAAGGTGTGTTTGCGCGTATGAACTGAGGGAAGGGGGATCACGCCGAGGTGATGTTGGGCTGATGAGGGACGCTCTGACTCCCGTCGTGGTGCGCCAAGGGGGTGTTGTTGCTGGTGATGAGCGGGTGTTGCTGCTGCAGCGGAGGCGATGTGCTGCTGCCCTGGGTGAGCTGATTGGACAGCTGGTTCAGCTGCTCCGTGTTGGCCAGCGACTTCAGCACGGCGTTCTCGCGCTCCAGCACTGAATTCCTCTCGTACAGCTCCTTGATCTGCTCCTTCAACACCTCCACCTCCTCACGAACAGCATACATCAGGTGGCTCTTCACCAAGTCCTGAGAGAAGACAAGAAATGGGAGACAAAAGTTACTACACAAAGTGACACTAGAAATATAAATGGGCATAATCATTTTTTAAACTGCAGGTTTTTTCCTCAAAGAAAGAAAAGGGAAAAAACATCATCTCAGCTTTAAGATGATGTGTGACTACTTTTTTTTTTTTGCAACATCTTAGCACAGAGGCGTCATTACCATGGGGATTTTGCAGCTGCATTTCCAAGAGATGACTTGTCAATGAAACTGTGTGGATTTTGAGATTTTTTTTTATTTTATTTTTTTTTTACGAAGGCCCTACTGAGGGCTGTATTCAGAACAGGAAATGCAGAAGCATTACTGAACTAGATGTTGGTTGAATTTATCACATATTATTATTATTATTACATTAAATTTTCCTCCAAGCGGGTTTTATGTTCATCCTCTCTGACACAGTTGTCACTTTAATGTCAGCAGCATAACATTCGTTATGATTCAGTCACTGTACAGGCCTGCAGAGAATGTGTTTCACCTGACCACATTCTGTTGTAACTTTCAAATCTGTGGGAAAACTCACCATTGCCTGCTCAATCTTGTTATCGATGGCAACAACACTGGCTCCGGATGCACTGTGGAGAGAAAGAGCTCAAGTTACCACAAGATACCAATCTCATGTCTACCACATGGTCTCGATTGACATCAGCTCTTACACACTCACTAACTGCCAAGTTAGTGACAAACATGACCTCAAATAGTTCACTGGTATTTCTCAGGTGTAAACGAAAAAAAAAAAAAAAAACCCATTGCGTATTTTTCTGACAGAATTTTGACAGAGTTTCTGGAGAATGAGAAGAACTGATTCCTTATCCGAAACAAACGCGCACACACATGCCAAAAATAAAAAAAAAAATCTATTTTTAGTGCTCTCGAGAGAAAGTGTCACAGATGAGTGTTTTCAAAACCAACATAGAGCCAATGTAAGATGTTATTAAAGGCAAAGTGGGATGTTACAAACCAAGCAAACTAGTGACTTACATGAAAAACATGAGAGAGAGAGAGAGAGAGAGAGAGGGGGCGAGAGGGGAAATTTGTCTCATGCTTATTATTCCATTGTGTGGCCAGTCATCTCACAACTGAAGAGGTCTTTTAAAATAGCTACATTTCAATACCACTTCACAAACCATGATTAAAATGACAAAAAACTTTCAGCACAGGTTCTTCTCTTACCTCTGTTACGGCACCATTTACTTTACATAGATTTCTGCATTAAGTCCCAAAATAACAAACTCTAACGCCAATATACTGATACCAGTTGGCCTTCATCACAGACACCACACACTAAATAAATGATAAACCCCAAAGTCCTAAACACTGCTGTTGATGTGTCTTGTCACCAACAAACATGTCCTAGATGGAGATTGCACTTTAAATTGCTTATGTCTTTTATTTTGAGGGATCTTTGTGGCCCATATCAACATGACAGGGGCTACGCTATAAACTTCCTCAAGGGTAAGTTTCCACGCAGAGTCACCTCACCTGACGTCTTTCATCAGTAAAAACCAGGTGTTTGAGTCTGAATAGGAATATACAGTGAAGGCTGTGTCACGTGTGAATCAGATGTGCATATTAACAGGTAATGAAACCAGCACCACACATTACTTGTATAGAATGATTTTAAAATGTAAAATGCACAAAGGATGGATGCAACACATTTCACCACAACCTTTCTGAGTCGGATAACAAAGCTCCAGGGGAGTATTGAAATACCAGCATTTCAGCATGCATCAGCTACAGTATCTATGTATGAAAGCAGTGCAGAGAAAGCACATCACAGACAGGGAGTGTAGCTTCAATCCTGCAGGAGTGGTATTCCGGGTGCGGCTGATGCCGCCGACATGGATCAGTTTACATTCTCAGCTAAATCTCATTGTTTCCATCTGCAGACTCTGTATGAGGACATGTTTTATCATGTCGTGGTAAAACACTAAGCACCCACGTTGCTTCTTCGTGAGTAGCTTTTCTTAAAACTGTTATCAAAGCCACTTAGGGCAGCGCAACATCTCGTTTTCCAGCCCCTCCCCCCTCCACCGAGAAAAAGAAACAACGCATCCCACTTTATAAACAAAAGGCCACCAACTTACTCAACGACGCTGCAGATCCTCACACAACGAAACGATTCCAAGTTTCGCGAGAGTTTACCTCGCGGAAAGAAAGAAATAAACTCCTTACAAGATCTTTATCCGTTTCAACAGATAACGGTTTTCTCCCGAAAAGCTCTCTTGCACAATCATCCGCCCTGCTCGGATGTGGATGGGGGAGAAGGAAAAAAAAAAGACCGAGGCGTTTTCGTGCCGCTAGAAGGTGCTCTGACGAGAATCTGAGGCATGAGAGGGAACATAATGTGCAGACAGACTAATAGAGTTTGGAAGTAGTTTAAAGTCAAATCTGATATAAATATAGCGAGAAAAAAACATGTAAACAGATAAACCGAGGTAAACAACCCATTAACTAAATATGGAATATATACGTTCATATGAAATATATTCACGAGTTCTGAGTTGTTTCAATACTGAAACGATATCTCTTGTGAGTCAATCTGATGGAGATTGAACTTGGAGAACTGCAGGGGGAAAGTCAACAATAAACTAACTTCAGTAACTACACTCAAACTTTCTGTGGATTTAAAAAAACAAAAAACAAAAAAAAAACATTATAAACCAAATGTGAGAACTGTGCAGCGCCACAGCTTCATGTGGAGCTCCAGGAGTCTATGCAACGTTTACATCCACACATGCTGGAGCGCACGTACAGCGCACTGTGGGCAGCCGGGGGGGGGGGGGGGCTACAAACACAAACCCAACAGATGCCACACTTGAGGGAAAACATGCTGGTGTGCCACAACCAGACCAGAGAGAGGACAGAGGCGTGCATACCAAACAGCTGATGGCCAAATACTTAAAACATGCGGGGCACCCAGTGAGAGCAAATGGCCATTTAGCAGATTGGATGTCAACTATGCCAAAGATGGGATAACACACTCCTGACTGAGTTAAAGATCCTAAGTCCACATAAAGATATAGGAGGCAGTAAAACCTAAATGAGCTAAAATGAAACAACATACTCAAACCATAAGAACGGCAACATACCCACCGATTGTAACAAGCACACACGCCACATAAACGTGAACTAATCCGACAGTAAAACACATGACAGAGACCGTACACAAAAGCCTGTTACCTGCATCTCGCTCTGTAAGACATCAACCGCCCAGAATATGTGGGTGAAGTTCCCGGGGAGCAGGGCAGAGTGTAGCTCATTCTGCAGCGCATCTTAGCGTCTCTCCAAAGTCTGCTAAAGTTTTCTGGTATACTAGTCCACTGTGTGTTCAAACACTGATGACTCTTGTTTGACTAGGTGCCGAGTGAGTCTTAAAACCCCGCTCGGTCACATGGTGAGAAAACAAAGGGGCGGAGCTCAGCCTCTCCCTCCCTCTCCACTTAATTTACTCCTGGGAAGACTCTTGAATAAGTTACATTATTCTCTACCACTGTCTGCCAGGACCGTCGCCACTCCAGAGGCACAGGACGACTTATTCAAAGATTAAGCCTTAATTAAATAGGAGGCAGTGTGTTTATACATGTACTTGATGTCCCTGATCTTTTCTCTTAGTACAAATGTGTAACTCTTGAGTTGACAGTAGGGCATATTTTATTAAATAACTTCTTTTTTTTTTTTTGTAGGGCATAACAAAAGTGCAGTGCTGTTCACCCTTAAAGAGAAATAAGAGATGAGTATGAGTATACGATAACAGCAGCTGGCACTGATGCCAAAGTATGTTGTGTTTTTACAAACAATCGAGCAATTTAAACTGTGCCAAAGTTAATCTCCACAACAGTTTTCCTGAATTTCCAGTCATGTTTCAGCACGTTTACCATTCAGTGCCCATTTAATGTGATTATTCTATATCTAAAGTGTTGGGGAAAATAATTTCAAGCAGTTACATTGTGAAATCTGTGTAGGAGCCATCAAAAGTAAGTGTGAAAAGCTGACTGAGATGGGTTATTTTTTCATGAACTGTATAGTGTTACGAAATGAGAATATTGTACGTTTTTATTGGTAATTGCAAGTGATCACATTGGTAATGCAACGTTCCACATTTCTACAGTCTTCTCTCCGTCTGTCCTGGGGCAACACAACGAACAAAATATGTGAGCAAAGGAAATACTTTAAAAATTCCAGCTCATTTTCCTACTCATCTGAGTTCTTGTCGAATTACTGAGCAAGCTAAAAATATTTTAACTGTAGTTCAGAGATGATGTACAGCATAACAGATCCACACTGACACAGTGACAGCAGGGTAAATGAGTTTGCATTCCACAATGAGCGTCTCTCTTGGACTTGTGATCTGAACACTGATAAACAACGCGAGGAGAAGACATTCCTCCCTTTGAACTGAGCAGTTACACATATGCGACAAAGAGAGAGACTAATGTCCACGAGCTGAGGCTGGAATATGTTTTTATCAATAATAAAAAATAAAAGACATGCAGTTTGTTTGGAACAAATTAGCTCTTCAAGTGCCTGGGAGATCTGGCCTTAAAGACTGAAATGTTTAGAAATGTTAGGGAGAAAAAACAAGGCCTAAACTAATTTGTTACTATTCGGCGTCCAAGCAAAATAAAGTAAATTGTACATTTTATTCAAGGAGGACATGTGGCGGTTTATATAAGGACCACTCGCTGTGTTAACCTCAACATGGGCCTTTCCCGCAGACTGTAGCAGAGCACACATGCACTCGTCCCCCCCAACAAAGTCTGCAGGACCACATGGCAGCACATTCCAGCTTTGGACACCTCCGGCCCCGAGGCCAGCGCCTCCAAACCCAGACATCTGTGTCAGAGCCACCATCATGCTGGGACAACACACAGTCGAGCTCCTCAGTGAGGACTGGTTATCAAAACAGTCCTGTAACCACAAGGTGTTTTGGTTTGATACCAGCTACAGCCCGATTTCCATCATCGGCATGTTTCCTGTTTGACACAGAGCTCCTGCCTGCTCACACACAACAAGTTACTCATATGCTTTTGAGTCTGACTTTGTGTGTGGCTCTGTATCATATGAGACACGTGCAGGAGCAAACTGTGGTCTCTTCCATCTCTCTCTTCCACCTCGTTTGTCACATGATGTTTTATAGTGTCCGAAATCCACTGCGTTCTCCATTGGGGCACAGATGCACCGGCACACGTCCCGGTCCCAAAACATACAAACACTCACTGTAGGGGGAGGCAGCTGAATAAATTAGACCTCAGTGATAACCCCCCCCCCTCTGGGAGTGTATTTCAAAACAATAGCTGGAGGGTGGGGGCTGTAACAACAGAGGAGTGCGCTCACTGACGACTCACCGTTGCCCTCTTTCAGATGCAGCGGCCTGCTTTAGCCTGGGTCTCATTGTTTGTCTTTCAAGATGCAGTTCAGCTGATGCATCAGAGGAGGTCAGCAGAGGCTCCGAGTAGTTTGAGCAAAAAACTTCAGGGAAAACTCACAGTCTTCTCTTATTGATCACAATGAACTCATTGTTATGGCAGAATTCAGCTAGAGGCTTCCATTTTGAGGAGGCTAAAGCGTTCAA